TTTTCGCGAGAAATAATAGGAAACCGAATTGTTGTGAAATTGCTGATTTAGGTAGTATTTGATTTAGTATTTGAAGAATTGTAGCATTGTTTGTAATTAGAAACATTAGGTAATAGCTAGTGCCAAAGCGTCTTTTGTGACTAGTTCAAGTTACCGTGCTTTTTTTTTGGAAAAATAATCTTTTAAAAAAGTTAATAGCCTTACGACATAGCCAATTCGCGTAATTACTTATAAATAGGTATAATTCTGTAGGTTTATAACACTCACCTTGAATATTATTACTCAAAAATCCTGGGCGTGCCTTCCTTACTAGTAGTTAACTAATCCAGTGATTTTATTTCGATTTCCGGAAGATTTTTAACACCACAGCAATACATCATAGCGATCACAAATAGATTTTTCAATATACGCGATATCCTCGGTGAAATTTGTTTTTTTTTTCCGTTCGGAGCAGTGACGGGCAGAAACCTTTGGTTATATTGGAGCCATTTGCGGTCTTGCAAATATTTAAATCTGTTATTTATTGCGATTTAACTTACCTTGTTCCATTGAAAAAACATCTTATGAAAGTTGAATGAAAACATTATTTTTAACACAGTGGTTAAATGGAAAAATGCACATGGGAAATAACACGGATCATTAAAACTGGGAGTCTTCAAGTTTTTGAGATAGAAACTGCAATTTTTGAATACAAAAATCAAGACTTACCAGCACATAAGTAATCTATGAATAAAGAGTAAATTACAAATAAAATCAATAACATATTTTTCAAAAAACTATAACTTGTTATTCGCCATGTATTCGCGAAGATACTAATTTGCTGGTATTCCCGTATGGTTTTCATGTAACGACTCATTTGAGATCTTTATTAAGAATTATTATTTCTTGTTCAACCAGTATTTCGTTGTGCAAAAAATTAAAAAAACTTGTAGAATTTCTTTAATACGTATTTTCATATTCTATTGTGAACAAAGTAAGATAAAAGCTAATTAAATTCTGGTGTTTCCTGCATCATTTGCTACGTAATTAGCGTAAATAATCATTGGCACTGTTTTAAAATAAATAATTTTGATTATTCAGGTATTGCAATGTATTTTTGTTCTTTCGTAATCTCCAGCTTCTTGGCGTGGGAGGAATTGTATAACCTAATTTTTTTATATATTACACCTTCACATGCGTACGGCTAGTCAGCATCAGTTTGGAGCTAAGGCTCAGAGGCTTCTGGGTCAGTGAGTCTCTCAGCACAGCTCTATTCAGACGCTATCAAACTGACCGAGGCAAGAAATTCACTTAATAGATGTTTGAAACAAATTATGCAATATGGAGAGCTTAGGTTTTAGGTTACTTACCTATTTTAATTCAATTATTAAAGGCAATGAAAATTGAAATAAATGAATATTATTTACCTAGCTTATGTGGTCTCCTAGAAAAATATACCTAATAAGTGATGTAATTATAATGTGTTGATAGACCAAAAACAAGTTAAACTATTTCGCTACACTACTATTATAACTTATCGGCAACAATCTACACTATACACATCACATTATGTAAGGATTAACTAACGTGACACACAGGGTGAAAATTCTTGAAGTTCTTTCTGTGTCCATATAAGTTTGGGGAAATACTTACATTTAATGAGGAAATTCCATATCTGCTAAATAAATTACATCTTTCGGAAAAGACGAACCTATTCCTAGATAAATTAGAATAGGGTCGTTACCTCCTATTATTAAAATTATACTGACCATTATTTTTCGATATAGTGAGGCCTAAAACTTGGCCATGTCATATTGGTTGTATTCAAAATTGTTTCCTGAATTATTTCAATTAATTTAAAATTTAAACATTTTTGTCCTTGTCGAATTGTTGGTCTCTTTCTCGCATGACGTCACTAGGCGGGCATGCGCAAAGCAGTTGTAAACAAATCCATCAACATATGCAATTTTGTGAGGTTATGCTGTTTTGTTATTATTTTGGAATGTTGTTGCCGTTGTTATATTTTCATTATTTTTTGAGTTTTTCAACGGTTTTTCCGGGGTTTCAAGAAAAATATTTAAAAGAAACGTGTAATAAATTCAAGGTAAGTCATTGTTTCTCATTATTTGATTTTATTAAGGTCTCAAATAGCGCATGCATGTCAGTTTCAGTGTACCCACTTAAGTCCTACCTACTGTTCTCTATTTGGCTATGGATTTTCGTAAATGTTTTGTGCATTCTTGTAAAAACAGTAATCTAAATTCGAAGAATCTTTATCTTTATAGCTGTCCCCAAAAATGAACAAAAAGAAGAAGTTGGTGTTTAGCTTTGGAAAGAGTTAATGTATTGTCTAGTATTTCTGGTGGAATTTATTGCTACGAAAATCATTTCAATGTAAGTAAACTTAGTTGCCAAATTTCATTTTATAAACACCTATTTCCTGTTTTACATTATTTCAAAAATATGAACATTATATTATATTATGTTTATAGATGGAACAAGATTGTGATAACTAGATGCAGTTTAGGATGAAAAACTGCAAATTAATTATGAAGAAAAAAGTGGTTCCACATATTAATTTAGGCAGAATCCGAGTTTGTGAAGAAGCTGAATAAAAGAATTGCCAGCTCACGAATCCATATTGAAAGAGTGATACAAAGATTGTGAGAATTTACAATACTCGAAGGTCATTCCTGCATTGACCATCAGCTTGTGGCAAAAACTGATTATTTAATAATAATTGCTTGTGGAATAGTGAATTTGCAGGGACCATTAATCAATAGTATATTGTGTATTTAGGTGGAAAAGTGACACATTCTCGGCCGACGGTGTAAGTTGACGGGCGAGGCGTAGCCGAGGCCGGCAAACACCGAAGGCCGAGAATGTGCTTTTCCACCGAAATACACATACTATTTTTTCTGCGATCGGTTCAATACCTACTGTTAAATGTTTGTCTTTTAGTTCCGATTAATCGGCAGTATGAGAATCACTTTCCCGGCCTAGGCCGGAAAAGTGTTTTCTATATTGTTATTCATTGATTCCTTAGCAACTATTGAAACATAATTGAAATACCAGAATAATGAGTTTTGCGACCTGTCAACCGGTCAAAAATGCTGACATTTCTTGTCAATCGCAGAAAATAGTATATTGTGTATTTAGGTGGAAAAGTGACACATTCTCGGTCGACGGTGTAAGTTGCGGGCGAGGCGTAGCCGAGGCCGGCAAACACCGAAGGCCGAGAATGTGCTTTTCCACCGAAATACACATACTATTTTTTCTGCGATCGGTTAAATTTCTGTTAAATGTTTGTCTTTTTGTTCCAATTGTTCAGCAGTACGAGAATCACTTTCCCGGCCTGGGCCGGAAAAGTGTTTTCGGCATTGTTATTCATTGATTTCTTAGCAACTATTGAAACATAATTAAAATACCAGAATATTGAGTTTTGCGATCTGTCAACTGGTCAAAAATGCTGACATTTCTTGTCAATCGCAGAAAAATAAATTTTATGTCGAAGCTAGAAAAAAATGCTTTTTTGAATATATTGTATAAAAAAAATACCTATTACTTTTTTACTGCCAAAATAGTACATTATACACCTAGAGACTAAAGTGTTTTTTATTCCCTTAACTTTGGAGTACCCTTCTATTCCCTGTTCCATTTACTCCACAGGAAATAAAGTAAAAAGTTAATCCCTTGGGAAATAAAGGGAAATTTAATCCTGGGGATTAAAAGGGTACTTTTAATGCATAAATAATGTAAAGAAGAAAACTCCCAAATCAATCATATATTTTTATTCAAAATGACTGAAAATACATTTTTCTTCCAAAATTCTTGAGCTGATTCAATAATTACTTTAATAAACCTAATGCTTAAGTCTAATTCAAAAATTGTCACTTCATTATCCTCTCCAAATTTGGGACTTGCCACACAAAACAGTCCTTTTTGTCTGTTACACAATAACATTTGTAACTGAAGTTGGCACATAGCCAATAGCATCGTCACCATAACTGACTCTCGTTGACCTAAAAATATATCAAACTATAAAACTGTTACGGTCAATTTCATAATAGAGAATTAAAAGTTACTTTAGCTAAATAGACTTTTAGGATAGGATTTTTCAACCTCAAATGGAGCTTTAAATTTAAAGTTTACTTTAAGTTGATAATGAAATTGGCTGTTACCCTGCTACTAAAAATGTAATATAATAATGGGCCAAAGCTAAACCAATACAATAATTATGCCAATATTTCACTACCCACCTTTAGGTTTTGACTGCTCTCATTTCTGCACTTAAATAATCCGCATTTTTGGCAAAAAACTCTTGCAACATCACATAATTTAGTTCAGGTAAATTTTCGCTGGAGGCTTTAATAAATCCACTATCCATCTTCTCACATAAACCGAACAAATAAACGGGTGAAATAAGTATTTATTTTTTATTTTATAAATCAACCAGACTAGACAGGCGAATCAGAATAATCAAAATAACTGACATAACAACTAAAAGAAGACAGGAGATGGGCCAGTGGCACGGCAGCCAACTAGACAACTAGGAAATTTTGTCCGTGATGCAAACTTAAATTTAGAAATACAGTGCGCAAGCTCGCCTTGTGACGTCATTACAATTTAAAAAATAAACGAATAATAGTAAAATTTCAAATTGAAATATCTCCTTTAATATTATTCTAAGAAATGCGGGAAAAAACCAAGAATAGATTTTGATGTGCCAATTCAATAAAAAAAAAAAAAACATGAAACGACCCTATTGCACCACAAGTACTACAAATCGACGAGATATTAAGGTACCTACTCACTTGAGGAAAGCAAATCTTGTTGGTACCTACCTAATAAGAAAAATCTATTTCAAATTGGATTGATGACCACGGTAAGCCATCAATAAGAGCAGTTCCAAACGATGACATCAGACGCATTTTTGTTAAAGAAGATATCATTCGGTGATTTCAACTGCGTTACCTAATCCAGGAATTTATACCAGGTTATAAAAAAATAAATGCAAAATAAATGTATACCTAGTTTAATTTCTATGTTTATTCCTTCGTGGCATATATAATATTTTTGTTTCACATTTGAAGTTGAATCAGGAAATATTCCTATTATAACTCTAACAGAAGCAAAATAAATAAAATTCCTTTGAAAACATTTTTTAACTGTTAATCTTTCAGCTTTGAGAAAAAAGTAATAGGTAGTTTAATATTTTCACACATTTAAATACTAGTCTGAGTTTGCTCATCAGTAAAACCAGTGAACAAAATTTTATTTTTTTTCCTGTGCTTTTTAATTTTACGTGATCTTGTATTTATTTCAACCATGTGCTTTTTGATCCAGTTCACATAGTAGGGTACACTAGTGTAGACTCCAGGCCAATTCTGCATACCACATCCAACGCCATAGCTTACTAGTCCAGAAGCAAAATGATGAGTACCTAGAAATAAATTCAAAATATGAGATATGAGAGGGTGTGCTTTACTACTACTAACTAGAATTAAGTTTAGCTTAGACCTAAAGCTGGTTGGCTTGAAGTTCTTCTAATCTTCAACTTGGATTTTTTGGTAGTTCTTAAAACTCACCATTGGTAATCATTAAGGGGCCTCCCGAATCACCATTACAACTATCTTTCGATTTTTCACCACCGGCACAAATTTGTGATTCATTGATTTCCAAGTCGAGCACTTGGAACTGATCTTTGCAACGCTCTCTTTCATAAGGCACTAAGTCAACCCTCAACTTTACCTTACTGGATTGTTCTGAAAACATATTTTTTTTTTTCAAAAACCCATGGGTATTCTTGAAGACAGTTATTACTTTCTGGATTACAAATTAAAGCTTACCAGTTTCGGTTTTACCCCAACCACTAATGTAATATTTTTTAACCTCTGGTGCCTCTTCATCTAACAAACATATCGGCTGAACATATTCTAGAAAAAAAATTAAGACAAAAAACAGGCATAAAAGTTTTATTAAGGTATGTCGAGCGCATTTGACCAACCAAGTCCAACATCAAAATTATCAATAGTAATATAACTAGTGCAATGGAAATTATTGATAATTTTTGGGAAATTTGCCCGAATGCATTTTTAGTTGAAAAAGAGCACGAGTGCACGTAGTGCACGAGTGCCTTTTTCAGTTAAAAATGCATGAGTGCAAATTTGTCGAAAATTATAAATATATTTCCATTGCACGAGTTGTATTTAATGAGAGAATTTCATAAATCAAAAATCTAAATTTTTTGTCAAAAAATGTCAAAACACCAGTTTTCGCACCAGTTAGTATGCAATTATCAGATAATTTGCACTAGTGCAAATTATCGCGTAATTACAATCTTATTGGTTCAAATCAACAATCAAAACATGCCAATTTATTGTTGTAATACCAGTTTTGACAGATGTATGGAATTTTCAAAATAAAAAATGGCAGTTGGAAATCCACAAGTAACAAACACACAACAATAAGTGAAACAAAGAACAATGTATAGGAACAAAATTTTGTATAAAGCCACAGACAAAAGTTTCATCAAGTCAAATATTGATAAATGAATGCAAAATTTATGGAATAACATCTTTAAGACAATCGGAATAAATATTACTTGAACAATAGCACCTTCAATCGCCTCAAACGCTATGGAAATACAAACTCAGTTATAAATCTTACCCTGACATCCCCATGCTTCCCGCACATGCTGAAGTGGACTACATTGGACGATACTTATCTATCGTAATAAATTGTGACATAACACCGAAATTCACTTCTAACACTATGCATGAAAAATGGAATATAATAAAGTCTAACTGCACTGCAACTGTATAATATATTGCATTAAATGGTTAAAAGCCACAAGTAATATACTTATGACGAAACAAATCATTGTATAGCTCTTTTCTAGTTAGGAAAAAAATACCTCAGCTCGAAAGATACCTGCGGCTTAAAGAAGCGAAGTGGGTCCTATGTACGTCCCTAATTAACCACCCTTATCAGAAAATTATGATCCAATCGATCAACATTTCTTGACACAAAATCTTTTTGCATTGAAGAATTTAAGAGAGTTATCAAAGCTAATAACTACAGTTTTCCAGACAAAGACAATATTCACTACCCAATGTTTTCAAATCTTCCACAATGCACCAAAAAAATTATCTTTGATTATTCAACAGCATCTTTGATGAAACGAAGAAATGAAAATTTTAATTAGTATTCCATTTTCTCCCTAAACATTGTTGTGTTGTCTTAAAAATGGCCTAGAACCGAAAACGCTCGACGTGAATTGATGAAACATATGAAACCATCCTTTCTATAAAACATATAAGCTAAGTTTCATACATGCATAAGAGGCGAATTATTAAAAAGCACAAGTAAATTACCTGAAAGTCGTACAGCACTGTTTAAGGAAATTAAAGCAATATCATTATGATGATTTTTCGAAGTTTTACTATAATTCTCGTGTACAATAACTTTACTTATTCTTTTTGCTTGAGTTTTTTCCGCACAAAAAGTACCACCTGGAGAGCAATCAATTAATGTGGTAACATTGTGTTCACCAAGCAATACAGAATACCTAAAACAATATTTATCCTGTTCGTAAATTTGAAATTAAAATTTTGAAAATCTTACGGCTCTCCTCTAGTCTGAATTGAGTCAGACTTGATGCAATGAGCAGCAGTAGCAACATATTTGGGATGTATCAAAAAACCTGCGCAACCGTAACTTTTGTGGCCGTATTTATTTTTATGGATTATCCTGGCCATCCAAGGGTATTCTCCAAGGACAGCTTCGGTGCCACCCACAATCCTTCCTCTCATTATGCGTCTTTGGGTACCACATTGTTGGGGTAAAGCAAAAACAATTTCTGGTATCGAAGTTGTTGTAGTGATTTCTGCAAAAAAAAAAAAATAATTTAAACAATACGTTTTATTATTTTTTTACTTAACTATTCGAACCCTGTTTGGTGTTAGAGTTCCTAAAGTTGTTGTATTTTCCGCAGCAAACTTTAAAATTTTTTGGATTCTCGTTTGTTGGTCCACATTTTGATGCTGTTACAAAATCCTCATATTTTATTTTGCCCTTTACGGCATCTAGTATTGGACAAGTGGATATTTGCTGGCAATATGCTACTTCGTGGTTTGGGGTCTCACACGGTGTAGCAAACCCTAAAAAAGAACAAAAACTTTTTTTTTTCTCAGTTTTCATCATTTAGAATTCAGTTTTTAAATAAAGAAGAATTTTTTAAATATGATGTTGTAATTTGGATGAAATTTTGGATATTTTGTCTGATTTTACGATTGTGTTTGAAATAAGATAGAATATCTACGATGCCTATAGTATCTTAGATAATTGAAATTGGATGGCTGTTTGAGGTTTCACAGCAAATTTATGTTCATGATAGCTTCAAGTGTTAAAGATCCTGTCAAACCAGATAAGCCAGGAAGTGGCCGGAAACGTGAAACTTCTTTCCATGGAAAATCGATTTTACTTTATTAATAGATATCGATACCTACTAGTTTTCAAATTATAGCATTGGACATCACTGGCATAATTCATCTAGCTGATTGAACATTGAATTATCCAGGTATATCTTGTGCTGATGAGATTGCCATGGGGTGGCATGGAAAAGGAACAAGGAATGAGACAGGTCAAATGCTGATTTTTTGTGCAAAACGATTAACCTCAAGAGAAATGGACGCGGGAAAGTACTGATGGAGAACGATATCCATTTTATATTAAAAAATAGGAAGGGTATTGAGCAGTTGTCCCCAGCATTAAACAAATTATTTGTCGGTAGCGATAACCGAAAGATTTGTATACTTGTTTACTTAAATCTAAACAGAAGATATTGAGACATCACGAGAACAACAACAGAGTGGAGGCCACTAAATGATATGGCTTTATACTGGGAACAGATAAACGTCAATTTATCTCCTATGAAAAACGAACCAGATTCAAATGTAACCGCGCTAAATTCCGACATTGATGATGCAGCGAAAACCAGATAATTTTATCGCAAATATGAAAACACTGATGAGGAAGGAAACTTTAAGATGAATTGGTGTTGGTACTCATCACGCAGAGGTCAGTGAAGACTCTTGAATAAAGAATCACTACGTAGTGATAGGAAATTACAATACCGAGGAAATCTCCAAGGTTATAGAAGAAAAGAGGGTCATGAAGTCACTTCGCAAGATCCTTCAAGACAACAAAAAGTTATAAGGAAACTGGAAGACGCAAATGGGTGCAGGCCAACCAATGAAGCTGATGTATTAAACATCTATATGTCATATCTCCTCTTTTCTGTGTAATTGTCCAATTCCAGTGCAGATCCGAGATTCGTTTTTTGATAAGTCATCGTGCGCTGATATGGATGAATTTAGTCCTGACAACCAGTAATAGGCTGATCCTGATTATAGGGTAAGAGAAATATCACTTGGTGTGTAAACGTTCTGTCGGTTTTTGCATTTCTTTCTTTCCTGTACATATTTTTTTTTTCAGTAACAAAGTTAGTGGAAATGGATCTAAGTTCTTACTGAAATAATCTTGAGCTGATGGGCCCAGCTACCCCAAGTACCTACTATAATCAGCTATGCCAATACCTTATGAAACTATAACAACGGAGATAGACATAATATAAAAAATTACTACTGGAAGAAAGTGGATAAAACAAAATACATCAAGGATATAACGCCTACTTGACATTTGTAGGCTAGACAAGAGGTGGTAGTAATTGAGAACTTCAAGAGGAGACTTTAAGGGCAATGCAGAAAGTGGTGTTAAAAATCCAAGTGGAAATGTACCGAGAAATAGTTTTCTTGATTTTGGTGTAAGAATGTCATATTCTCGCACGCAAAATCGTTGAAGAATGACGCTCATTCTTCAACAATTATTCTCGACATTTAGTTTTCAAAGTATACCTATTGGCTATTGGCACCTTCAAACATTTCGAATTCGTGTGGGAATATGTGGCCTCCTGCAACTTGTATTTTAATATACTATCCCAAGGTTGTTTGGGAGAGATAGGTTGCCTGGGCTGGGACTCTGTAACGAATAGAGATATTTTCTCTATCTCTATTGACGTCCCCTCTCTATTGATTTCGAAAAGAGAGAAGAAGACAGCAAGTGCCATAGCGATAGGGATAACGATCTCTATCCGTTACAGAGTCCCAGCCCTGCTGATAACTTTTATGACGTCATCTGGAATGCCTCAACATACTGCAAATATCCATAAGGCACCCCAGTTGCGTCATCAAGGCAGCCTTATTAACTTCAGGAAACTTGGGAGGAAACTTCAGGAGACGTTAATGTAAGCTTAATAAAGTCAGGTAAGCCTGTCAAAATTAAGAATTTAGCTATGTGTTTGTGATTATCTATATTATACAAAATTGTCTATAACAAAAAAGCTAATAGTGATTGGTCATGCTGCTAATGGATGTCGACTTTAGTAGTAGTACGAAGATAAACGAAGAATAAAACATGGAAGAAATGTGATGGTTGATTAAAAAGTAGATAAAGAAATGTTCCTGCCAAATATTTTGCTATTGAAAATGTTCGAGAGCAAGACATAAAAGAACCTGAACCAGAAATTAACATAAGTTAACCAAATTGCAGAAAATGCAATGATCTTCAAGAAAGCTGCAGAATGAGTAAATAGCCAAAAACAAAGTAATGGGCGCATACCCAGCTATCTTAACGACTATGATTTGAATCCAGAGAAGGAGGATGTTAATTTATTTGCAGCACTACAGATCAGGAATGAAAAGATGCATGATGCACTTGAAGAAGAGTCCAGAAGACTGTGAAGTATGGGAACTAGTGAAAAAGCCAGAAGATGGAGATATTATACACTCGAAGTGGGTGTTTAGTGGAAAATATATCAATGATGAAGTGAAAAAGAAAGCTTGATGTTAAATCACCTACATTTTTCAAATGAAACGTGGAAAAATCCAGTTTATATGGAACTGGTTGAAAGGGCTCGAAGTCAATAAAAATTTGAATTTGGTTTGTAAACTTCAAAACACTAGAATTTTTTGTGCAATCACAATCTTATGAGGCTGCGCTTTCAGGAATCCAAGAAAGATACATGTTTATATTTTAAATGAATTACATATAATAGATTTATGTTGATGTTATTCTTTTCCTAAGTTCTAGGAAAATTCATATTATTGTTTGCTAAAACATTTCAAAATAACCTTCTGAGATAATTGAAGTTGGATGATGCATCAGTATAAATGAAGCAAACCGATATGAGAAGAGAAAAGTTCTGGGAAAATTTATGATGGGTGATTGTTAATCGCATGAATTACACATGCAACTTAAAGTGAAATTTATTAAAATGTTAATAACAATAACTTATTGGAGCACGAATTTATATCATGAGAGGTAAACGACCTGATATGAGTGTTTCAATAACTATTTTTTACAATTTCAGAATTTCTCTACAGACAAACATTAGGATTAATTGAAGCATGAAATAAAATATTTGAAACGATAGCCATCATATGGATTCAAGTAATCAATAACATGAATATTTTTAAAATTGTACTAATAGCAGTTATTATCATTATGGGAGAACATCCTAAATGATTTACATGAACCATAAAAGTATGTAAAACAGGCCATAACTCTATAGTTATATTCACTATATTATTAAGAACTTTGAGAGATAAGTTTAGTGATACGTGATATACAACCATACCTAACCCAAAACTTAGGTTCCTACTTACTTAGAAGCTCAGTATCATTAAGATGTTTGAAAACATCAATTTCACTTGTAAAGCTCACCAATGATGTATAATCAGTATCACTAACATCACTAATATTATCACTTTGTGAGGTCTTTTCTAAACTGGCGCATTCTTCTACACACTCACCCCGTGCTAATGCTATTACACATAAAACATTAAAAAGGATGAACACTATAACGTCAAATTTTCGAATACAATTTTTTCTTTTCATGTTCTTTTCCACAAATATACTTATTTTGTCAAAATATTGGATTTCTGTAGTCGAAAACAGTCCCCTCTTAATATTTTGATATTTTGTTCAACCTTTCAACTTGGTTATCATTAATTTAGTCTTATTGCTCCACTTTTCTTAATAAATATTTATGGACCATATACGATATCAATTATGATTCACTATAACTGTGGAAATTACTTGAAACAGTAGTTGAGCTGTTTTAGATAAAACATTCTGTTACACGAAGTTGAGACGTACATAAGGAATATTTTTCAGATTTTCTGCCTTAAAAGTGAAATTTGAATATCTAACAAAGTATATCACAAACGATCCAATCTCCTGCTTAGCATGCGATACGCGATTTATGCTTATCGAGATTTGCAAATATTCAATATTGAATGGAATTAGGGAGTTATTGTACCCCGTGCGCTGATAATATGCCTTGAAAAATATACGTTTCGGATAATGGATCGACCGACAAAAATGTTTTATATTAGAATGCTTGAGTAACAGATTTGAGTTTGAAGGGGAGAATAAAAAATTGCTTTTAAATGTCATGAAATATGTAATAGGATTTCTTTTTGTGTATTGACAAATAGCAAAATAAATAAGAATTTTTTTAAAAGTCTTATACACGCATCCATCCAAATAATCTAAATCATGTTCTCTAAAAGATCTGTGTTTAAACAATAAACCGCATTGCAAATCGTTTCCCTAGCGTAAATACTCTACTCCCGTCCGCTCTTCCCATTGACCCAGATTAATATATTTACCAGCATCAAAAAAAGATCCCTCTTTTTTTCAATGACCAAACCCCCTCAGAGAAACGCCACATGCAAACTGTGGCTTATCGTAATAAATGTTTACATTTGAAGCCCAGTTCGGAATAATGCCCTATTGAGTGGTATAATGGCTATCTCTCGTTGCTGTAGTGGACATAGTAATATGGAGAAAAAGTAGATGTATTGCAGACCATTCAAGATCCTTAATTTACAATGGTTCAATACCTAAAATTTTTGTGTGAACGCATTATCAGCAGAAAATTGACTTATGAGTTCTTAGGTAAAGAACACATCTAAAGCCTTTTAGGGGTTATTGTGTGGGTTGTAACGCCTTATTCCTAATATTGGATTTCGAGAGTTGAATTTTCGGATTTATCTTTTTGTCTAATGTCAATGCAGTGATTTTTTGTGGCAATTCGATAATTTGTAATCATATATTTAACCACTGCTTCCAACATATCTTCTACCTACTTATCTTTTTGTCAAGTGCTTTATCTTATTTTGGCTGCTTTACTGATTGCTGTAGTTTTTGAATAATTTTCTTGAAATATCAACCAATTATTCAAGTTTAGTGTTATTTAACATAGTTCAAGCCTTGGCAACGTCGTTTTATTTATAAGGTAGTGGAGGAACTTTGGACTTTGCTTGTAGAAGGCTAATGTATACTTCTCCCCAATTTTTATTCTTTTGTAAAGTATACTTCGACATACGCTTTTTCTGATGCATCGCAGAAGCTGATCAACTCTTATCCTGAATTATGATAATGAATTTGATGAGTTATCAAATAATTAACGAAATAGTTGAAATGGCATTACTTATATCATCAGTATATTTTAGAGCTACTGACGAGCTCAATCCCCAGCTCAATATACTCCTCTGATAATTTTGAAGACGAGTCTTATTGGTAGAGATCCGAATAAACAGTATACCAACTCTTGTTGCTTGTACCAAAAACTAGACGCTAATTTTGGCGCATCTAAAATGTTACTAAATTCCACAATCTGATCGATGATTAATTTTAAAAAATAATTTCAATAGAGAGAGCAAGGACTGCGGACTTTTAACACTCCACGTTGAAAATTTATGGGTAAATTCTTGTTCCGAACATGAGCCAATTTTTATTTTTCTTGGCCGCCAATGAGCAAAAGATGAAAAATGACGAGCAGATATATCATCATCCAACATTATTATCATCAGGTGAACCAACTCCACCCTATGATAAATTATCAATTTCCACTTATTGATCCTCATCGGTGAAGAGTAGGTAAGTAAATATATCTAATATCTAAAGGTCACAGTGAGAAATGTTCACTAAATAGAAATTGCAAGTTCTTCTGTCCTTTTAGAATAATTGTTTATCATTCACATATGGGTGCTGGTATTATCTATTCACAATATTTGCACCCAGATGTGCATGCACATGGATAGGTACCAATGACATAGGTACCTATTCTTTTGAAGGGACAGTAGAACTTGCCTGGTTGATAATCACCTCCCTCATTAGCAAATTGATTATGGCTACCGAATGTGTAGAAACAAAACAAAAACCTACCTTGAGTCCTATTTCTCTAATAATCGGGGGATTCGATTCGTTCTTCTTGTTTCTTTCCCTCCTAGGGAGGTTAGCGGCTATCAAAATAGGCTTAAGAACCTTTGTAGTGAGGCAGCTTCTCACCCTATGTCACTCGCGGCTTTCCAATGCGCCTAATTCCATGTAAGGGGCGGCTAATTGCCCAGAAGTTCTCCCAGAGAGTCGTAGGGGTCTCCAGTAGGCGTAGTTTTTATGCCACTGAGCACAGATTTAAAAAAAAACCACACGTTGAACTTCACGCACAAGCGTCTCTTGGAGGGCAATACCATCATTCCAAAGCAGCAAAGTCCTGCGGCGATCGGCTAGCTGCGACATGCGCAAGATTCTGTAATGTGGCAGCACTTAGTGACTAACCGGCACGTAGGAGGCAGGTGTGTGATCCCCGTTTTGCGAAGTCTCTAAAGCAACTCGTATGCTGGCAGCCCTATTCAGGATCTACTCTGGTCACACTGCATTGAGAGGGAACTATGTAGAAAAGCTGTCCCACATAGTTAGTCTAAGAACCACTGTGGTATTTTTATGTTAAAATATAATGTAAAAAAATATGAATGCGATCCTTAAATCGCTTAGGAGTGGTTCAAAATATTTAAATATGTCAAAAAAATAGATATCAAAGTGAAAATAATCGTTGCTGTTCGCTTACCTTCTTCTTGGTGCACTTTCCATCCAGATTACACAACTTTTTTTGGCTGCCGGTAACACTAATTTCTATTTCTTCCGCAGTAGAAATTCTCTTTTAATTTTTAGAGAAGCGGGTGCGGATTGCGGTTTAGATGGCCAAATCTTGTACCAATATGTTCCTTTTTCGAGTACGAAGCTGCGCGCATGCAGTTTATGGGCTAGCGAACAGGTATTTCCGCGGTAAATACTTATTCTTAAATTTAAATATTAATATTGAGAACATGGAAATCTTTGGATTTGCTCCATTGACATTGAACAAAGAAAGTTTAATTCAATTTTTTAACACACTGAGTGAAACAAGCACACAAGACGTGCGGGCGATGGCCATCTCATACAATATGGCGGAGGCTATACTTTCTTCTGGTAAGGAAAAGAAGAGAATGTGCCCCAAATTCACGAGTTAGACTTTGCTTTGCAATAAAGAATCAACTCGTAGAGCATCTTGATGAGCTCCCTTCTGGGATGAGTAAAAGAGTAATTACTCTCCGTCTCAGGCCCGTAAACAACCATAGAGCTACTGTTATCAGTATACTCTCTAACGATAGATTCCGACGATGACAAAAAAGAACAGCTCTATAACCATTCTAACAAACATTCTTCGATCAGACAAAGTTATTTTGTTAGGTAACTTCAAAGTCCGAACCGGCAAAGACTACGTCTTTCAAAATGACATCGTTGGCCAAGAGGGTATAGGCAAAAGTAACTAGAATACTTCTATTAACCAAATGTTCATAGCAGGATCTCGTCATCAGAAATACTTTCTTTCGCTACAAGAATGAGTTGAAAACAACGTGGCAACACTCAAGATCCAAGAACTGGCCTCTCATCGACTATTGTATTACGAGCCAAAGACCCACGCAGCAAAACGACCACAACGCAGGTTAAATAGTGAACGACTGGAGCATGGAGACAGCGAAACAAACTTCCAGCACTGGTCAATGCTTAAAATAGCTATGCGAAAAATCAATGAGCTTCATCACAAGGAGACATCAGGATTGTTTTGATGAGAACAGCAAAGAAATTCAGAACATCACCGATCAGAAGAGAAAGCCTACAATATCTGGCGGAACAAAATTCAGCTCGCAAGAAAAAAAAAACTATTTCCATGCAAAAACTGAAGTACAGAGAAGGAAAAAATGCTAAAAAACCAATGGTGGACAACGCAGTCAATTGAGTTGGAATGTTTGGCAGCCACTAACAACAGCGCCATAAAAGCAACCTATTTGTACAGCGATACAAAAGGTCCATATTCTGTTTAGATCCAGAGATGCTACCCGATTCTATTAACTTCATATGGAACAAGCATTCTCAGGAACTCTTGAACAGAGATTCTATCTTAGACGATGAGTTCTTCTATAGTCCGTCAAAAACACATTCAAAACCATCCAAGTAACGTTCCTTTCCAATATGTTGAAAAAGCTATCAACCAACTAGATAATTGTTGAGCTTCTAGGTTAGAGGGAGTCGAACAAACACATATGTTCATCGTCAAATTATGGGTGATTTTGTGATCACCATAAAATGAGACACGTACCTCTATGATCACTATATTCAAGAAAGGTGAGATATGCCCAGTGTTATAGTGACCGAGGAAAATCACTGTTGTCTACAGCCGGAAAAATTCTTGCCGGCATTCTCTCTAACCAACTTCTGCCTCTTCCACCCTACCCGGAACATATAGTGTGGCTTAAGATAGCAGACAAAGGTTAGGTAAGGAAGGGCGTAGTAGTTGATGTGGATTTCGGAAATATCAAAGAACAACTGAACAAACAAAACAGTGACAAAACAACAGATAACGGCATAAGAAAATGGCTTCAGTTCAGTCCATTTTTATAATCAACACCGAACACCGAATAGCGGAAGTGTTGCCAACTCGCTGACAGTAGAGTATTGCAAATATCTTTAGAACTAGAGGTACATTCAGTAGTCTGGCATCACTGTATTGGAAACAAATATTGAAACATTCAACTGCCACAGAAGAGCGCCAAAATAATTTGATTGTATAGGCTAGTTACATAATATTGCAATATTGGCAAATATTGGTAATATATCACAAAGTTACATCACA